CCGAACTGCTGTTTCAGTGTCGCAAATGTGACCGTAAGAAACATCGAAGCATGTTATGAACAGTTAGAAAACAGGACCTGCAAGCTCCACGCCTTCCAGTAAGCACAGCACGCTTCAAAACATGTTACCCAAATCGTCACATTTTTAATTTTTACCAAAGATTAAATCATCATTTATTTGAAAAATGAACCCTCAGAAACATTCAGGTAATAAAAATGTGTTGGTTTTTGGTTGTTTCCAGGTTTAAAAGGACAAATGGGAAAATAGCGTGCATCGATCCGAAATTCATCGGGCTCGAGAAAATGATAAAGAAGGTGAGACTCAGATGTTGGTCTAGATTCATGTGTTTAATACCAGAGCTGGTTTATTGCCGGCTCAACATGGTGTTCTAAATAATCAATGAGTGCATGGTAAGACTTTTAAGACTGAGTTTTGACTTTGTGATTTTCACCAAGAAACAGTTCAAATTGCACTTGTATAATAGTAGTTAGTAGTTTTTATCATTCAAGTCTAAAAACAACAACAACAAATACAACCACGCAGTAAAAGACTATTCAACTACTCAAAAACTAATGTACATTTCTTGAAGTACTTTACTGTGAAAACTTTGAGATACTTTATCTTCTATTTGAGCATCTCCATCAGGTTTTTTATTTCTACACGATTCAACTACATTTCACAGAAAATCTGGTTCTTTTGACTTTATTTATCTGTCAGCCTGAGTTACCAGTTTTTTATTTGACAACCCAGATTTAACATATGACCCAAAAAACGACATAGGATGTGATTCACAGGTAAACCGTCATTATCTTTAAGGTTTTACCTTTTACCATAGTCTATGAATAACTTCAGTGCAGGCGTGGTTTGGTCTACACCTGTGAAAAAGGACTAAAAGTGACTGTAACCCTCTGAACGAATATGTACCAACAGACACTCCAACACGAGCCACATCTCTTTTTAAAGAAAAGTTTGCAGCAAGGTAGCTAAGAAAGTTCATCTTTCTGCATTTTTAGAGAGGATATCTTTTTGGTAAGGAATCAAAAATAAAGGTTGTGCAAAACACTTGTTTTTAGCAACACCAACAATGTGGTTTGAGTACTTGAGGAATATTTAAAGAAAACAGAAAGTTCTCCTAACAAATGAACAAGCATTGCCTGAATTGTTATGAGCTCTAATTTGACATATTTTTTGTCTTTTCTTCTCTGTAGGCAAAACTGCACTGTAAAGTTTTCTAGTGAAACACAGTCCTGGAAGTTGAGTCTGCACGACCAGAAACTTCCCAGCAGAGCAGCTACTCCGAGCATTTTCAGCTGGTTTATTTATTCCCTTTTCAAAGATATCTATTTAAAATTCAAGTTATTTTTGTATTGACTTTTTTAACTATAAAACAAGAATTGTGTGACATTATATCGAACAGCAGAGCTGTTTCTTTAGAACCAAAAATAAATCATGTCTAAATAACTATTGACTCTTGTTTTCCTCCACATGTGATGTCTAGCTTTGACTGATTCACTCACAAAAAGGGATTTCTCTCACTGCTGACTCAGTGTCACATTTCTTAAAGTCAACACATTTCCATGGCCAAGGCTCTCAAAGAGTGGTACATTTTACTTAGATAGGTACGCCTGGAATTGAATAAGTCATAAATATTGTTTCTAAAATTAAATAATGTTCAAAGAAGTTTTCAATATTCTAGATGAGTCATACATGTGACTATGAAAGATAGAAGGATGAAATATTTTCTTCAGAAAACCCTCTCATACATGCCAAGTCAACACAAGAAGTTGTCACCTGGCTAATTTACTAATTCTGCTTTGGAAGGCGACTGGTTAACACAACCTTTTCACAGGAGATTTAAATAGATTTAAAAATGACACGGCAGAATAAAAAACAAAAACAGTAAGATTAATCTCTGGGTCAAAGAGATAAAACACAGAGTAAAAGGTTGACAATCGTATTGACGTATGAACACATTTAAAAATTTGACTTTTTCTGGACTAATTAAAAATAATCTGGAAGAAATGGATTGAGAATATATCATTCATTTGACCAGATTTTATGGAAAAAGTAAGGGCCGATTCCTACATGTACAGGATATAGGGGAAATACTGTAGGGGAGGGACCTATAAATATGCAGATTGCATTCTGTGTAGAAGTGTGTATGGTCCTATGTGTGTGTGATTTAGAAGAATATCTCAGGGACCATTAGACCTGCATATCAATGGACTGGTGCAAGGCCATTTTATAATGTGTTTTGAATTAAATATTTGTGCTTCTGAAATTATTTGAAAAAAACATTTCTTGTTAAATTTGTTCGCTCTATGAAACGCATTGAATCGACTTTGTATGTTTGACAGCCGGCCGTGTTTCTCTCGCGAGAAGTGTGTACAGCTTTGCAGTTCTAGCCAGTTAGCCCGTCTCTGTAAAGTTTGATACAAAGCTGAGGCCAAGAGGAAGAGGACAGTGACGGATGAAGCCAAGAAGATAAATTAAAAGCGTGTGACTGAGCAAGAAGCAGAGTGTACATCCCTGTAGTTATTAGTCATGCATTAAATCCATCCTTAAATTGTCATTGTCAAACAATTGTCATTGTCATCAGTAATATCATTAAGTGCGTAGGTGTTCATGACATAGCTGGGTCTTTAGCTTTTTTTTAAAGGTGCAAAGGGACAAGAAAAGATTGATTGACTCTGCGGACCAAATGGAGTTTGGGAGTTTGTTCCACCACTTGGGGGCGACAGAGTAGAAGAGTCTAATTAGAGACTTAGGACCTTGTTGTACGCCTTTCATTGGCAGAGCGTAGTGGCCGTGAAGGAGTGTAGACATGTAAAAGAGAGTTTAGGTAAGGAGGAGCCGTTTTTGTCGCTGTTTTGTAAGCCAGCTGCAAGGTTTCAAATTTGATTCAACAATAACTGGGAGCCAGTGGAGGGAGATGAACAAAAGAGTGACATGTGCTCTTTTGGGTAGGTTGAGGAGCAGCTTTACTGGAAGCAGAAAGTCATCTCTGTTATGTCTCAGGACTGCATACAAATAAATCAATAAATCCATTTTACGCCAAAATATTTCTCAACAACTGTGGATGCTAGCAGATTCATATTTATTCAAAATCTGATAATATTACTGTCCCTTGTCAGTCAACGTTGGTCTTAAGCTTCTCACAACACTGCCCCTCTGCTTGTCCACAAATGCACATTGTCTGTGAGGGGGAGTAGTGGGGCACATCAAATAGTTCCTCTTTCAGTGTGAAGCTGCAGTTTATAAGGTGCCATGTTTCTAGTTCACTCAGGTTTTGGTGCTGTGCAGTGTATGAAGATGTGGACTCTCGCTGCAGACCGCTGGATCTGTCTGCTCGCTCTGGCTGCAGTGATGCTCGTCTCTGCAGGTATACAAAGCAAGATTTTTATATCAAGAGTGTGTGGTAGTGGTAAAGAACATGTTATTAAACCAGCTTTAAACTGTATGTTATGGTAAGTTGCTGTTATTTCAACTTTGATACAAGTAGTTCTAGTGAACTTAAAAAGGCTTTATTCAAAAAGTCTTTACTTTATTCCAATGTTACTTTTTTTATTGTGGCTGAACCTTTGATGAGTCCTTTTTATGCAGATTGCTGTAAAGGTATGCTGTAGATATTTTCTTCAGAAAACACTGCTTATACATGTACATGAAGAGAAAAGCAAAGAGATAAAAGAGGTATCACTTTGTCTGCTGGAGGTGCAAAGTGAACACAAGAAGTTGTCACCTGGCTAACTTAGTAGTATTGCTGCTTTGAAAGTGACAGTTTATAGACTCCTTATGCAAGACCAAGGTGAACTTTCCTCACACTTTCCAATGAACATCAATGTATTTATATGGTTTTGTTTGCCATGCAAAAAAGTCGGCACATTTAGCAATAAACTCACTTAAAGATTGCGTATACTTCTGCAGGTTTTTTGTCCTAGACTTCCTCTTTCAGGAAACATGCAAGCTGCTCTTTCTTGTTATTTTATAGCCTGAGAAGAAGACAATAAATGCTAAGGTTTAAGATGACCTAAGTAAAATCTCCATTGTGCAGGACTTTACAACAGCTATGGAGGACCTGATGTTCTTCATCCTCCATAAACTAAACAGAAATCCTCATCATAAGCCTGGCGAGGTTGTGTGAAAAATATAGCAAATGTTGGGACAGCCTCAAAAAAATATGAATTTTGGTTGGAACACAACACAAAGAAATCCACTCCCGTTTCTTCAGACTTATTGATTATCACCTAAATCACTGCTGTTTTATGTTGTTGAGTATTAATGATACTGCTGAATAATGACTGTGTCTCTCTCGTCTTGTCTGTTTTTGTCTGTGTGTGTGTGTGTGTGTGTGTGTGTGTGTGTGGAGGGGGGAGTAGATGCTTTTGTGGCTGTACCCTGCTGTAAATGCGGAGAGAAAACAAATAAACCAATCATGAGTGCTTTAAACAGAAACCCAGGAGGAGCTGCAGGTCAAATAACTTTGCGTAAGTACAGCGTTAAATAATAAATGTTTCAGTGCCTATCTTTAAAAGTCATTTTATCTGCTTAAAAACAATGACCTAATGACACATAAACACTCTGGATTGGCCACCTTTTGGTTCCTTCGCTGTTACCCTTTACTTTATTGCGAAGTATACCATGGGCTGGGTCATAACGGCTACAAGGTGTGTTTAAAACTGAAATTGTCCATTCACAGTTCTAAATTATTGCACAGGCTATGCTTCAGACCGTATCTAATTGAACAGCAGGTTCCAAAAAACGAAGATCTTATTCAGTGGTGTCAGTCAATTTAAAATCACGTCATCATTTCAGTCCAGACTCGTTTTCTGCTGCTCTGTAAAATGAACACAGTTCTCTCTTTCTCTGCTGTGAGTCTGCATCACGGTTTGTTAGCATTTCATTTTAAAGGATAATTCAAGTGAAAGAGGCTCTGTATACATTTTCATATGAAGTGGGAAAATTCTTACTTTAAGTTTTAATAAGTTATGTTTTTGTTTTAGCAGGTGACCATGGTTTAGGCTGTATAATGCCTTTCCAGTTGTCTTTTATCAGGCTTTGCACGTCTGACGGTTTTTGCATCACGATTAATAAAAGCTAATAAAGTAGAACACATCTGAGCTACAAAAAGATTTTTGTGGTTTCATACTAAACAGGACCATGTACACTCTATTAGTGGATTTAGCTTCTTTTAGCTCTTGTCAGATTACAGAGTTGCTTTTTGAACAATCAGTGTTTGATAAACAACTCTTGAGAAATTGGAAAGCAACATTAGAGCTCTAAACAAGAACCAGACACAAAACGTTCAGTTAATGAAATGTCTAACATTTTCAATCCTTTCATTTCTGTTTCCAGGGTTCAGTTAAGGGTGGAAAATGGCTGTGTATCAAATCTGATTCAGAGTGGATGAAAAAGGAGATTGCCATGGTAAGAATTCGGCATTAAAACCATTCTGTGGCCCCACTTTCAACTTTTTGAAGCTTTACTTCAGAAAAATGCTTCATGCTTATATGCTAAATAACAAATAGTGAAATTTAATAGACGCAGTATAATGATAATCATGTACACCATCTTAATATAAAACCTACAAAGTCACACAGTCAGGCTTAACCTCAGTCTGAAGCAGATTATCCAACCAACAAAGTCAAGTGTGTTAAAATCATATATGAGGAAAATGACAAACAGTGACACACATGATGATGATGTTATACAGTAATTACATTTTCTGTTTCTCTTACTTTCCCCCTCTCTACTCCGCAGGGCAACATAAGCTGTCGTTCACAATAAAAAATGAGAAATGGGAATTGATGTGGAGCAGCAAAAACCATTCAGCAACTGTGTTCAACTGCGATGAACAACTCCTTATGGCTTTTATGAATATATTCTTTACATTTCTTGCTTTTATGGAATTTTTTTCTACAGCTTGAATTATGCCCAGGTCATAAGTGAGCATGAAGTTAGTGAGAGCTACTAAAATGTTTTTTTCAAACACATATTAGAAGTATTTTTTCCAATTTTAGTCAAGGTTGTCAATAAAAAATGTGTTCAAACAAATTAGTTGTCATTTTATTGTCTAGATATAATAAACCGTTACATCCCATTTTAAACTCTCTGCTGTTGCACTCACAGGAATCAGGCATTAAGCATAAATACCATTCTGCAGTAACTGGCAATTAATATAATTGGCTTGAGTGGATAACTTCAATGGAGGCCAAAAATTGTATTTACAATCATAAAAACCGAGTGACTGAATCTATTAGCCTGTCAATCAATCTCTGCTCAGCTTCAGAGATTCCACATGGGGAGGGGGTTAAATCCCTGTCTTTTACCACATAATACAGTTTGTCTTTTACTGCCACACCACTGCAATGATTTTACAACACTGTCAGATATATTACTGAATTTAAAGGTAGGGTTCTCACGCTGTCAAAGTGTACTACTGTATATTGTTTCTTAGCATTGTTTGTTCAGACACAGAGCTGCACGTTGCTGTTAAAATGGACTGTATCATGATCAAAAATGTTTAATTTTTTTAGGAGTGTCACAGCCCAGTTAAAAACTTAATATTAGTGTCAGAGTTCATGATTATAGCTATAGATTGTACAAAAATATCAAACAGTATGCACATCTGAAAACTCAAGTACTGGTGCAGAACAAAAAAAACATCCAAAGATAGAAAGATACTAAGTCCTGCTGGTGCAGCTTCTTGGGGACTTAGTATAGCTATAGATTGCACATCTTCTGAAAGAGACTTCAACAGAAAACAACATGTTGGTGTAGGCACACAAAGCGTTCCTTTCATACCAGCTAAATTGTCACTGAAAATATCCAAGAAAGTCGTGGAAAATTAACTCTAAAAAAGGAGTGGGAACCCTGAATAGGGTAAATTATGAAAGTCTAGAGTCAGTGTATATCAACATGTTGGCGATAGGGTTGTTTGAGATACCCAGCATACCCAACAGTTTATGATCAACAGGAACCTTGCAAGACAACGAAAGTTCCTTTTTTGATGTGACGCTGCATTTTGTAAGATGCTACCTCTCTTGTTCACTCATCATCAGACTTTCAGAAACTAAACACTGGAGCAGTTTTCAGCTGAGATCCAGAGTCAGGTTTGATGCTGTGCAGTGTTTGAAGATGTGCACGACTCTGTCTGCTCGCCCTGGCTGCAGGGATGCTCGGCTCTACACCAAAAAGTACATAGAGTAAGAACACAGTAATACTCAGCAAAGAGTGTGGGGGACTATTAATCTACATGTAATTAAACTACTTTTGAACTAAAGTTGAAGCCAGTTGCTGTAAGTTAAACTTCTGTTTGCCATGATTACAGAGGATGCATTACTATTTTGCATTCCTTTTTACTGTAGTTTAATACTTAACGTATAACAATTGGACCCAAAAGGGTTAATATATAAATAAATATATTTATATTTGACCATTACTTCTTTAGTGACGTTGATCCCTTTTTGACCAGCCCAGCCCCCTTTTTTTATACAGACTGGAGCTATTAACATCAACTTAAAGTCACATATTACACTCCTTTTCAAGAAGTTGAATTAAGTTTCAGAGCTCTGACACACTCTTTAACAAAGAAAAATACTTACAGGTATAATATGTAGAATTTATACACTAAAATATCCAAGTTAATTAACAATTGACTAAAACTATGTTATATATTTCCGTTGTTGAATACTACATTACCTCAAATATTTCCAACAGTTATCAAAGCCAGAGAATAGTAGGAGAAGTAGTATGTTTTAATGTTACTGCTGAATAATGACTGTGTCTCTCTCTATTTTTGTGTGTGTGCAGTGGATGCCTTTGAAGGCACACCTTGCTGTTATTCCTCCGGCTATTACATAGGTGAAGCAAGTAAGCTGTCCTGAACAATAAGAACTACAAATGATGTGGAGCAGTGAAAAATGATGCAGCTGCTGGGAACAATTCTGTTGATGAAATATAATGCTAAATCCCTTACATGTTTTTCTTATATAGATTTTTTCTGTATGACTTTCTGCAGCTTTGAAACCAGCTTTATGTTGAATTAATTGAAATAAAATTGTTGTTTTGCAAAGTTGAAAATAGTAATGAATCCTGATTTTCTGGTTACTGCAGTGCTCTAGTATTGTATTCTAGCATTGCATGGATGGGTATTTCTGTGCTGAGTACACTATGTCACCAAAGGTCTATGTACACCTGGGCCCATTAGTTACTGTATACTCTGGGAAGCGGACCTGTAATGATTTGACACAACCAAGACAACCACATACAGTAGCTGAAGCTCTCATCCCCACTAAACAAGAAGTTACGAAAGAATATAACACAACCAACATCTGACACTGAGTACACAACATTTGCAGTGAGACGGATAGGATCAGTTTTTCCAACAGTTTCTGTTTGTTTTTATTGAAGACTGCACATGGGTATTAGACTTCAAGTGTAGTTATGTCCAAGACATTTATTGGATGTCAGAATTCCACATAATTTCTTTATTAATGCTTCTTTGGTTTTTCATGAATTCACCACTACTTTTTTCTGTAATGAAATCAAAATAGTACCAGTCATTGGATGGGATATGTTGGGCAGCAAGGGATTTTTTCCCCCTCAAGTTAATGTGTTGGAAGCAGGAGAAATAGGCAAAGGTAAGAATGTGAGCAACTTTTGCAAGGTTGTAACTGTTATCTCAAAACAACTGGACCAGGTCATCTCCTAAACTGCAGCTCTAATGGGTCTTTCCCAGGCTGCAAAGGTCACTGAGTACCTACCAAAAGTGGTCCAAGGAGGAAAAACCAGAAGACCAGTGACAGAGCCATGGGCAGTCAGGACTCATTGGGGGGTGAAGGCAGGCCCGATTGGTCTAATACAACAAAGGAGCAACTGGACCTCAAATTGTGGAAAACGTTGATGCTGGTTCTGATAGAAAGGTGTCTGAACACACAGTGCATCGCAGTCTGGGGCTGTGTAGCCGTAGAACGGTCAGGGTGTCCTTGCTGACCCCAGTCCACTGCTGAAAGCTTCTTGAACATGAACATTAGAAGTGTGCCTAGGAGCAATGGAAGAAGGTGGCCTGGAGGAACACAATTAGTTCAAGGTGCTAACTTGGGGGGGATCAGGCTGTGATATCAAGTCAGTTGCTAACAATATTTCATAAAAACAAACTCAAACTGTAATCCATCTTCCACTCTAAATTCATCATCTGATAAAACAATATACGGGTGAGTTCAAATTGTCATTTTTGCTTAGGAAGGTTCCTAACTGAAATGACCCGGAAGCATTTAAGTGGCGGCCATGATGAGAGCCGTTCAAATTCTCTAAAAGTTAAGGAAAGGTGGGTCAATGCTTCCTTGATAACCTCCCTTAGCTTAGGTTACGGTGGCCGGTAGGGGTCAAACGCGCAGCATATATAGAAAC